GACCTCGTTTCTTTGTAAATCTTTGCAGTACATCGTGAGCACAGACGATCCGCATCAGTAATTACACGCTGCAATTCTTTTGTAAGGTATATGTTCAAAACACCAGTAAAACAATGTCTACTATTCCCTATCTGGCAGCGCTTCTCACAAAAACAGCAGATAATTGATTTTACCACTGTCCAACGAAGAAATAATTGCTAAAAATGGAAAAAAAATCATTTTTTCATCATTGATTTCATTATTTATCATATCACCCCTTAATTCTGAAATATCTCTGTGACATACTTGTAGTGCAGATTTATTTATAATCATGTGGTGAGAGACAAAAAATAAAATTGCAGCTAAACAGATGTCCTGGAGAAGATGTTGTTAACCATTTATCTGTAAGTTCTCTAAATGACGAGGAATGTTAAACTTATATCTACTGGTGGCTACTACACACTGTTACTGTTCAATCAAACTGGGAATATGTCAAAGGGGAGTGCTAATACTATGTGTATCAGAACTCTCTTTTAACTTTCCTCCAAACCTAAATCTTACTTTTAAATAAGTCATCCCTTTAAAATGTCATTTGAAGGGCCAGCCACCCCCTTCTTTTGTTTTAGGAAATTTAAATTGTATGTTAATGCTTTTATTTTTTTGTATAAAAAAGTTACCAGTCACACCCTCTTTCTGTTAAAATATAAAACCACATTTCTATGAGTATATTTAAATTTAATATTGGGATGTTTTTATTTGAAAATAACCACCTCCGTTAGAATTTGATATTTAAATTAATTGAAATATGCTTTTATATACAGGAAACAAAGAAAGATATTTTTTTTGTATATTGGGACACAATATGTTTACCTTATTTCATAAGCCATAAAGGTAATAATTCTGAGAGCATATTGTTGGTGTAAAAAATGGGAAAATGTCTGAAAGAAGATACATGTGTACGAGGTTATTTAAGATAAAACAAATACCTAACTATTTTATAATTCTTATTTTTTTTCCACTGTGTATATATAATTTTTTATTTTGGAATGTATAACCATAGGGCCCAATTGATTTACACCTAGTGACTCACCATACTTATCGAACTATTGGAAACTTTTCATTGACCCGAATCCGTAGCAACAAATATGATGACAGTTTTATGCCTTGCCAAAGATAAAAAAAATAATATTAACTGCATACAAATTCATTGGAAATTAATCAGAGACGTAACATTATCGTTATACTATCGGAAACAACTCATGCGCACTTTGAAAAAAAAACCCACAATGTTATGTTCAGCGTAGATCGACATACACTGTAACACTCGCGTCGACATCCTAGAGCTGTCAAGAGTATTACGGTTTTAAATCACATTAAAATATTTTTCAAACAAACTTTAAACATAATTAAAGTTTTTCTTAATATAATAATTAATATATTTTATTTTTATTGAATCTATTACCTTTGAAGGCGTGTTTAATCAGCCTGCATATCATCGTCTGTTTACATCTTCTAAGCAACAACTAAATGTGTATTTCGATCCCAATGCCAAAATCAGTTCTCAAAAACAAATATTTTTCGAAATTTGACCATGAGCGCAATTGAGAACATGCATGAAATTTACATATAATTTAAAGAATTTATATTTTCATATTTATACTTAAAATCGTTTATGTTCTCATTTGCGCTAATATATAAATGCTTTATAGTAGGTGAGGAATGAGTGCCATTATAGTGAATAAGCCCAAGTATATAGTTTTCAAGTACCGTGAAAAATTATTCTACAACGTAACATCGAAATTATATCCATATATTCATTTGATATAAAGAGTGATTAATTCATTCAATTCAAATTACCATCTTCTTAGGCAATTTGTAAATTCATAAATCTTAGGGCCCCATAAGCCCTTTTAACAAATTTAGCTCTTTAGAACGAATTTTTAAATAAAGGTCCGGACCTACATCTGTTAAAATCTCCGAATCGAACCATAAATGAATTAAAACAAAATAGTAAACAGTGCAGATGAGCAAAATGAAAAAAAACCTTGATAAAGGCATGAATTTATGATCATCATTGTAATGACCTACTTTGGAAAGCTTTAAAGGTATGTAATATGTATAAATAAAGGACTAACAATTATTATGAAAAACGTCAGTCAGCATTTGACTCAATGCAAAATTGTATTTGCTGACAACGTAATTCATTTGTATCGACCATAAAACTTATAAAATAATGATTTTAAACGAGACGGCTGATATTCTTGTTTCATCAACTTGCTTGTCAATAATTTACATCGTTTTAGAAATTGTTCATGCATAGAGCAAGCTCTTGCATATCGAATCAACTGAGATATGCACTCCGTATGCAGGTGATGGAATTATATTGCTGCATAAGTAGGGGAAGTTGACGCTAGAAAAGTTTAAGTCATCAAGTTTATCATATAGCTTGGTTGTTAGATTATTTAAGATGATTTAATGACAAAACATTTTAAAATCAATTGTTCATAGCAAATGGTTCATCGTATATTATCGATATTGACTGTATACATATTTTAAAATGTTCTTATGTATTTATGATTACATGTATACTATATTTCGATCAGAAGATTCGTTCATTATTTTTGTATTTATGTTTGAAAAACAATTATACTTGATATAAATCATAGTTGTACCTTACTTTCAAGTCAAATTGTCATTTCATATTTACACATTTTAATTTCAAATTACAGGAGACAGACAGGGAAATCTTTAAGAGTTACTTTGAACAGTCAGGCCATAGTTGGATGTTACATTAAGTACTGAAGAAAATTTATCCTATCTTACAAACTGATAATGGAAAAAAAAACGTTGCAGTACTTTTACAATCTTTATGACCACGAAATATCTTTAATGGACCCTTGCTTCTCTACACAGTTTGTTTGGATGTTTCCATAAGTAATTATGTTCCCCAAACGAAGTTGGTGAACATATTGTTTTTACTCTGTTTCTTCTTCTTATTATTATTTTTCTTCAACCTGGGAAAATCTTTTCCGCGAATGATCTTGTAAACTACTCATCCGACTTACGTGAAACCTTTTTAGGGTCAGTAGGCATGTTACGTAGATTTGCGAGACGAAGGTCATTTTGCGCGCACGTGCTTGCCAGATTTTTTGATAAAATGTTTTAAAACTCATAATGTAAGGATATATTAGTAGTATAGACAATATGACATGGTCAATATAGCAAGATCTCACGCGCATGCACATGCGCTTCGCTCTGATTGGCTGAAACTAAAGTCTCAATAGCTTTCTTCTCTTAGGTCATAATCATTTGAAATTTTGAACTTAGTCACACATTATGAGGATCTACAGCATGATATATAAGAATTTTCATGAAAGCACATGCATGCACGTGTGCTGGCAAGAGCGAGCAAGTGCATCATGTGAAATTACCAATACAACGGATGAAGCCGTAACTTTTCTATTTCTTGATGAATTATTTTGAAACTCACAATGCATGGATATATTAGTAATATAGACAAGATGGCATGGTCAAAATAGCAAGACCTTACGCGCATGCACGTGCACTTCGCTCTGATTGGCTGAAACTAAAGTCTCAATACCTTTCTTGTTTTACGTCAAAATCCTTTGAAATTTTGAATATAGTCATACATTATGAAGATCTACAGCATGATATATAAGAATATCAAGAAAGCATGTAAATCCACGTGTGCTACAAATTGATTGGCTAAAACTTTAAATGCCTATAAATTTCTTGTTTCTCAACAAAACAGGATGAAAGTTAGAATATAAATAGGTATAATGGATTTCTACATGATACTACTATCAAACTTGAATACAGGGACGTGCTTGCATGCACTTGCGCATGCGCAATGCGTAAAATGAACAATATATTTGAAAAACGGTACCATTTGTCTTTATGATTTTTATTGATTCTTAATTGGAATAAAAAGATATGTTAATGGTTTAGACTACATGCCATGATAGTAGTATAAACGGTCTAGATAGGGTGGTCAACTGAGTGCACTTTTTGCAAATGAGGTCAAAAATACTGGATTCTGATTGGCTAAGCCTCTGGGTGGGTCAACTCAGTACAGTCCCCCTGGGGGGATAGGGAGGTCAACTCAGTACAGCCCTAACCCTAACCCTGGGCTAGGTGGGTCAACTCAGTACAGGGCCCCTAGGGGCTAGGTGGGTCAACTAAGTACAGTCCCCCTAGGGGCTAAAGGGGTTAAACTCATTACATAGCCCTATGTCCAATAGGGCGCTTACATTATAGTTTTTTTACTATACACTGCTACTACGATTCACAACGTTGCTACTACGATTTGGCAGCGACTCAAGAATGTGATTATGACGTCACGATTTCATTCACAGTCTATAGCCTAGCCAGCCAGTTCAAACTGGATTTTCTGAAAACAATAACAACACAATACAGAAAATAACAAAACAATTTTATTCAGAATCAAAATACATCAATTTACTTTTTCTTCTTCTGTGCCTTATCAGTCGTCAGTCGTCAGGGTTTGGTCTGGTGTGTCCCTGAGGTCTTGGGTTCTTGGGGCTTTTTCTCCAGTTTTTCTGCTTCTTTCACTAACAGGTGTGTCTTCCTTCCTATTTGGCGAATCTTTTCCATCACTTCTTTTCTAAAATCACCTATATCATTATGAATTATCTGCATGATGATGGCCATTTGATTTAAGATACTGCATATCATTCTCCTGTCATCTACGTCCATAAGATCCTGTGTTTCTGTTACGGTCTCTGTTGTATTTTCCTCTGTCATATTTTTTTTTTACCTCTATCAAGTTCAGAATGCTAACGGAGAGTGATCTTAGATTTTCAGCTATGGTTTATATACCATTGGTTTGTTTAGGGCCGTGTGCATAAATATGTTAGACTTACGTTTTCATCGTATTGTGTACGATTTTGTACACCGTCTAGTCAGCGAGCTACCTATAGATATTATGACGTCATACACTTGTAAAATTAAAGTTTCATTTTCACTTTTGTTTCTAAGAAGTGAACTTAGATTTTCAGAAAATGTAGGACTATCTTTTGTTTTTCCTCTCTTTTTCTATAATGATTTTCGTACTGTGAAGGTTTTTTTGTATAAAGCTCAATTTCTCTATGACCACTGAAGTAATCATCCTGATGCTTTCTTACCATGTGAATGTTGAGACCCTGTTCATTTTTGAAATATCCTTTCTGACAGACCTATTCCACAGGTAAGTTTGTCTTATTTTTGTTTACATTTCCTATGAAGGTCTTTGAATTTAACTATGATTTATATGTAAAGTTCTATTTTGAATGTAAATGCTGTATTTATCCTCATTTCATGTGATTTACAGTTGTATAACCTGCATGTAACTCAGATTGCATGGGTATGCGTCATTCCATGATTGAATTTAAATCAGAAAAATTTTCACTAAATTTTGGTAAAATACATGGTATCTTTTACATTTCTGTCCCTTTTGTCTGTAAATTATTGCTTTACTTACATTGTAAAATGAGGTTAAATGTGTATCACTGAATATTGTATGATTTTTTTTAGGATCAGCTGAGATGTTATTTCACTGGATTATTTAATGGATAGGCTTATTGGGCATATATAGTTGGATATCTCTGGTAAGTTTGTCTTGTTTTAATTTTTTACATTTCCTATGATGGTCATCTTTGCATTTAACCATGATTATATGGTTAATTTAATTACTGTGTAATACTTATGTGATCTGATATCTCTAACTTACATTCATATAAGCACACCCTTATTTAACCTAAAATATATTAACACATGATTAATGGAATTTCGGAATATTAATAAGTCCTTTTGTATAAATTATATAATTTCATAATTTATTATGTATGTTAAACATGGAATTAAGACTCACTAAATGGTGATCAAAGAGATATTAATTAGGAATCTAATAAGAGAAAAGTAGTAATTTACAAAAGATTAATCCTAACAGTCATTTACTTTTGTTTTGATTCTAAATATGTGTGATATATGGCATACATATAATTTCATTTTCACTTTTGTTTCTTGGTAATGAGCTTTTCAAAAAATGAAGGACTACATCTTCTACTGTGATGATGCTAAAAAAAATGTATTTTTCTGTATGCAGTACTGACAGGTATTAAGGTCAAGATCTATTAAATGAAAGGTGCCTACAGATTTATCAAATTTGAAAAATAAGTTCCTTTATTGATGCTTTACAACTTTAGCTTGGTCAAATAAGGTGTTTCGGGGCATACTTTGTAGGTAAAGAGGATGAAACACTGTATTTTAAACCATCATTTTTAATGAAAAATTAAGAAAACAAGTCATGAATATGGGAGTTATTTTCATTTTCGACAAAGGAGATGTATCCATATTGCCTACAGTCTTTCAGGAAACGGTAATTAGTATGTTCATTGCCTCTTCTTTAAATCAATATCAAATTTATTATAGGTATCCGGTTTACTTTTCATATGATTTCAAATTGAATGTCATGAAAATACCCTATTTTCTACATAATTCTGCTAAAGCCGTAAAGTACGGGAAAATGAAAGTTGAAATTGATTATGACGTCATAATGGATCTAGCACCAAAAAATAAGTCTAAAGTTATTTACTAGATCTTGACCTTAAACCAAAATTGAATATGCCCTTAATAAAAAGTCTGTTAGTGTCTAAATAATTAATCTGATAATGATTTTATTTGTGATATTAATACAGTAATTGTGCTTTTTTATTATCTAAAGATAGCATGATGAACTTTTCTCATCTGGAGTTAATGTTAAAAACAATTTTTGAGATTTAAAACAAATATGTTCATGATCTTTTTTGGCATTGTACATGTTGTATTTAAACATGCATTGTTTCATGCAGTACTCTGTCATATTAACAAAATGGTTTTATTTTTACAGTCATCAACATGGCAGATATGTTTTGTTCCTAACCATCTATAATCCATTCTCTATGAAGTTCAGACTGTCTGCTCTTCCTTTGGAAATGCACAGTTAGTCAACCAACAAAGAAACAAACAAACTTGAAGGTAAAGTTTCAATGAGATACAATTGTAATTTTTATTTATTTATTTATTTTACATATGCATGTTTATATTTTTGAATTGATAAGTAAAGGATATATGATTTTTTTTAAAATAAAGAGGGTTTGGTGGTCATGTTTAGACTATATTGATATCCTTTAGAAGAAAAAGAAAAGACATACAAATGCATGATCAATTTTTAAAACTAAAATGTATGAAGTTTTTCTTTGCCAAATGATACTTAACAGCTGAAGATAGCATATCTATAGAATAAGTTAAATATGGCTAATTTGTTAACCCCCAGCTTCCTTAATAGCATAGTTGGTAAAGATAGCAAGTTTTGACTTCAATTGCTGATGAATTCTGAATTTTCCATTTAATATTAACATTATATCAAAGGGAAAGAATACTATAATGTGGCCCATCAGTATGACCAGAAAAGAAATCTGAATGACCCTCTTGACTATGTATAAAGACTTTAACCTTAACTGATATAAGATGATCTGATTGTGTGGAAATAAAATTTCCTGATGTTTCTACTACCAAAGATCTTTCTATGAGTGTATGGGACTGCTGTAAACCTTTTCCTGCTTATAAAAATATATCTTGGAGCATGACACTTTATTCATAAAAGGTACTTTCAATATCATTTCTATGAGTTTGTGTTCTTTCTTTTTATTAATCTAGTGTTATATCTCCTTTAACCTCATTAATATGTATGCTTCCAAAATCTTAGATCTGTCTGTATAGTTTCTTCAGCTCTTTGAACACAAATACCGTGATTCAATTTTTTGAGGTAAAAATCATAGAGACATCATAGATGATTATCAGAGTGTATATATCACAATCTTGACCATAAGGTCAATTGTAATGGTCAAAGGCACAACAAATGAAAGTGTAAACTTTTTTTTTATCAGAATACATAATTTTGTAATAAAAAAAACAATGGAAAGTTACTCTCACAATGTGTCTTAATTTCTTCCATGAGTTCAGTTTGGACTTCCTCCATTTATCCTTGTATCTTGTAATCCTTGTATTTCCAATGGTTTTGTGGGCTAAAAAGCATGTGTCTTTTACAATCTTTTTTTCTGACAACTGTTTTCTCTTACCATCTATACACTTGACTTCTTCTCTTGTCAAAGGTCTTTCAGGGTAATCCAAGTAATTCTTACCCTCTTTTGGTAATAAATGGTTATATTCTTCATTGGCTTCTTCTGCAATCAAGGTTCTTTCTATGTAATCTCTGACACATTAGGATCACCTTTTTCTGGACATAATTGGTTATATTCTTCTTGAGAAATGATCTTAATAGTGCTATCTTTTTTTATTTTAACTGGTATATATCTGTCTACATCTTTCTCTGAAAGAACTCTCTCTCCGAACTGAATTTTACTCATTCCTTTACTCTTTTCTTTACTAGAGGTGTTACCCATGGTTAATATAAAAAGTCAAAATCTTATGTTACAACTTATATTTATACCCTTTTTTATCTATATTTAGAATTCCATCAAGCTTATATTACATAATTTTTTTTTCAACTAAGACATTATTTTTTTTATTTTCCAGGATTCTCTAGTGAGTGCTTATGGAAATGATTTTAGTCTACTCTTAGAATTGTGAAAGACTATCAGATTATGCAAAGACTAACAGAATATCCTCTCTTGGAACACTGAAACAAGAAAACCAAACTTAAAAGGATGGAGGATTTAAGAAGAACATAGATAAATATGATTCCCAACGAATTTAACTTGTACGATCATAGACTGTGGTTTACAGGATGACAAATAAAGGACCCAGGATTTTATCTTTCACTGTCAGACCCTGACTATGGATAAAGTGTAATCATTCATCAAACTGAGATCTAGTCAAATCAAGTATTGAAAATATTTATTTTCTGATAGCATGAGCTCTTTAAAAACTAATTCTCACGAACTTCAAAGTATCTAAATGTGACTTTTATTTTTACCAATTCATATTGAAGACTGTTGTTATGTATGAGAAGAATGCATTTAAACCTTTTATTTTGCATCTTATTTCTATAACCTCCTAGAAATTACACAGATATTCAGATGCTGGATTTAATGTTATTATTTAACTTTCCTGGAATTGTAAATATATTTTATTTGTGTATGTATCATGTTTAATTTTGAATTTAAAATTGGTCTCAATAAGACCCCAATAAAGATGCAAGTGTCCCATAATCTGTGATTTAATAATATCTTGAATATCGTTATAATACCATATTCATCATACTAATTACATATAGAATGGCTGTAGGAATACACTTTGTTGTTTATGACACTTTGTCAAGGTCAAAGCATAAGATTATTGAAATGACTTCTTTGACAATAATTTGTAACTTACAAACTTCACATCATAAGAACACAGATGAAGAATCAATAAAATATTTCTATAGATTTTTTGGATCATTTACTCCTGGGTAAAAGTTAGTTAATGAGATTACTTATTTGAGTCCTGTAATGCAATAACTTTTACATTGTGTGATAACTTATAGACTTTATAAAAATTAGGTGCAAATTCTTAGGAAAGGATTGAAATGTCAATCAAATGTACAATGTTCAAGGGTGTTTATATGACTATTACTATGTAATACCTAGGTTTTCTGTAAAAATCCTATATTCACTACATAGCTAAAGACCGATATAATATATATTTTAACCTATGAGGAAGGAAAAAAAGTCAAAAGCTCTCCTCTTCATATCTTTCATATTCTGTCATACACATCAATAGATAAATTGCAGTCATTTAACAAACTGAGGTCTAATAATCAAATCCTAGAATTGATATTGTGATTTTCTGATAGTATGAGATCTTCAAAAAAACTAATTCCCAGACTTCAAAGTATCTCTAAATGTGACTTTTATTTTTATCAATTCATATTGAAGACAGTTGTTATGTATGAGAAGTATACATTTAAACCTTTGATTTTTCATCTAACTTCTACAACCCCTAACAAATAACACAGATGTTTAGAAGCTAGCTTTGGTGTAATTATTACTTTCCTAGAAATGTATATACATTTTGTTTGTGTATGTGTGTGTCCTATTTTGAATTTAATAGGTCTCAATAGGACCCCCATAAAGATGTAAGTGTCATCTGATCTGTGATGTAATAATATCTTGAATATTTTTATCAACCATTATGCATTTTCACTGTGTTATTTTTATAGCCCTGCCCTGACACCAGCAGGCATGCTTACGAAACTATCTTAGGGCTAAGACATATCTTAAGACGGTCTTACGACATATCTTAGTCTTAAGTGAGGCCATCGAAGCTATCCTATCTTAGGAGACCTCCTAATCTTAGTCCTAACTTTAAGACGACTGCGGACACGTCTTAAATCATATCTTAGGTGATTTTAAGAAGCGCTGGTGTCAGTAAAACAGCTAAGAATGATTTTTTATGTAAATAAATCAAATATTTGTTGTAAATTAGTGATTTCTTTAATGAACTCAATTTATGAGCATTGTACCGTGTGAATTTATGAATTAGCCTGTGCAAACGAAAATGGAGAAAACAGGCACATAGCATCGGGGGAGGGGGAGGCAGGGGGGCCTGATCCCTCACTTTTTTCCCCATCATTACTTTTTCTATTTGAAATGTTCATTGAAAGGCTGGTCGCCCCCCCCCCCCCACAATATACTATATGTAATTGATATCAGGGAAATGTTGTATTGACTTCTAAGAAATTGGTACTGAAAGAAGTTGACATTGAAAAAATGCTGGCCTCTAACCCCCCCCCCCCCCCCCCCCCCCCACCCACCCCCTGAAATAGGATTTTCGATGTTCGGTAATTTTCCTTTTTTTTGGGGGGGGGGTGTCAACTTTTGCAGGTAAGTCAAAAAATAATTTATAGGCTCCCCCCCTCGCCTCTACTTTCAAAAACGATGCTACGTGCCTGCATTAATTGACATGTATGCATTTAAAGATTAAATCATTGAAAAAAGATTTTTTCAAGCCCTTTCAAAAAAAAATAAGAATATACAACCAATTGTTTTTTATTGGGGCAACACGGAGGGATAAAAGATCTACGTACATGCATGGTCAAAATTTAATGCCTGTGTATTGCATCAATCTGTTGCATTTCTTGGTATTAGCCGGTGTAAATGATAAAGACAGCAGAGAAATAAAACATATTTTGAAAAAAAAAATAAAGTTTATACATGTAAGCGTGACTGCCTCTCCTTTTCCAGAGAGAGAGAGAGAGAGAGAGAGAGAGAGAGAGAGAGAGAGAGAACTTGATCAACGACCAGAAAGGACGTTATGCCTTATATCTTTTCTAAATTACTTATCCAATAATACAAATAATTATGAAAAAATTTACTTAAATATTGTCATGTAGTTCCGCTTTTCTGATTCTGCTAAATGTAAACAAGATTGTACACAAGTAGCTACAGTTATATGTTATATATTTACATTTGCAAATGTTTTCCCTTATATAACACTACTAAAAGGAATGCGTATCTACAACTGTATAAATACAGGTATGGGGTCAAGAGGTCATAGATGTGCGTATGGATAATCGTTTGACGTAATTTCTCAGTGACGTCATAAAGGGTCGACGCGCGTTCATACATGCCGTTGGGTTTGAAAAATAATGCATTTCACATGTTAAAAGTCACAATCAGGCAAATAGAAAGTATGAATTAGTCACAAATGTAAATATAAGTAATAAGGTATCATTTTAAAACATCTATCGGGCTCTAAATACGGGTCGGTACGAGATTAAATTCAACATAAAGCCCTTCGGGCTTTATGGAATTTAATCTCGTGACCGACCCGTATTTATATCCCGATAGATGTTTAAAAATGATACCTTATTTCTTAAATTATTTTTTTTTTACACAAAACTGGATAAAGCGCACTAAACTGCTAAAGATATATGTATGTAATAAATATCGATCAAAATAATAGTTTTTAAAAATGAATATAAAAAAACACACTTTAAAAATTAGTCTCGAATCCAAACATGTTTTTAAAAAAGAAGTAGGGACACACCAACTAAAAAAAAACTAACTCAGATATGTTTTTAATAAGCAAGGAAAATAAAAACACTAATCGTCTCCAAACCTGAAAGTTTTTTTTTACATTTATAGTTACACAAAACATGTATTCGCATTTGGCTTTAACTGCTAGATTTGATCGCATACTCGCTACCCTAAGCGTAGCGAGTATGCGAGCGGATAAAAATTTAATTCGATTGTTTTAAGTAAATACTTTAAAGAACTAATGGGAGCTTTCCCCCCCCCCCAACACCCCCTCCCATTACATCTACATATGATGGTAACTTGAAATACATGTAGGGACTTCTTGTAGCTCTTCATTTACAAAAAAGAAAACGAAGAAAATGCCTAAGATGGAATTTACGACATCTTAACTTAGGATAATCCTAAGATACTTTCGTTTTACAACCCAAGACGTATCTTAAGTTATGTCCTAAAAATATCCTAAGACACGTCTTAAGACATATCTTAGGAAATTTTCATAAGCATGCCTGCAGAACCCCTGAACCTGGGCCCATTAAATTCATAATTTTGGTAGAAGATTCAATGCTTATTACAATTATGCAAACACTTTTGTGTTTGACTGCTTGATGTTCAGGAGAAAAAAGATTTTTGAAGATTGTATGAAAGTTATGGCGATAAAGAACAGTTTTCGAGATCTTACTCCATAAAACAATACAAAATAGGAGCAGAGCAAACACGGACCTCCGAAACATCAGAGGTGGGATTAGTGTCATGGAGGAGTGGGCATCCCCTGCCGATCGGTCATGCTTGCCGTTTATTCCTTGTCATGATCGGGAAATAACGGGGAAATCTGTCGTCAATTCAGTGTTATAATGGACTAACAATTGGTATGAAAAACTTCAGTCAGCATTTGACTGAATGATAAATTGTATTTGCTGACAAGGTCATTGTATCGACCATAGGACTTTTAACGACTATAGGACGAAATGAAGAATTTAAACAAGACTGCTGAATCAAATATTCTTGTTACATCAACTAGCTTGTCAATATTTATTTACCTCGTTTACGAAATTGTTCATACTTAGAGCATGGGCTTAACATTAGAGTGTCTGGAGCAAAATCATTTCTAGAAGTTCCTCACATAAATCAAATGAAGTTGTGTGATATATAAGTCACCAACTTTCACAAAGAAACGGTCAAATTTGCGTTCCCGCATGCTCTTGTCAGATATTGCAGAAGTATTCATGTATTTCTAGGACGAGTTCCGAGCTGGGAAACGAGTAACAATAAGCTGGGATATCACTGTGTTCTGTCGTAAGTGAATTAAGGATAATTTTCATCTCAATCACTGCAGGAAAGCTAATCAGGTCAACGAACATTGCAAATTCCGCTTCGAATTCCTCACCCCCGGGTGTCACCATTCCGCGCCTCCATATGTGGGGTTAGTGGCTAAGTCTTGTATTAAGAAAGAGAGCAGTGTTCTATTCTAAAGTCAGACTTGTAAGGCTCCAAAAACGTGTATTAAGGGTGTACACACGGTAAGGCTAGAACTTAAGTTTCATGACTTATAAGGCATGGTAAGAGAGGGAAGCCCGGTAGGCCTGCTACATTGACAAAGTCGGCCAAAACGAAAAACAAAACCAAAAAAAAGGCTTGAAAATTCCTGACAAAAATTTAGTTGGGAGATTAATATAATCATTGGATGAAGGAGAAACGGATCTCGGCGACATTCACGTGGGGCTCACGAAGGTTCTACCCTACAGGT